GCCTCTGGTGAGTGTACGTAGCTAGTACAGTTAGCCTGTTTTGCTAATCTCCCAACGAAGCTGAGCACATAACTTCTATAAACAACTATTTTCACACTGATTAGTGTATTATTTAATTTTTGTTTAACTAATTCGCTGCTAGCTATACATTTTGGCTACTACAGAACTAAAAAAAAATATGTCAAATGGTCTCAGGAATCCACATGTGAAGAACAGTTCCCCAGGATTTATGAACCATATGAACATGATATTTTACACGCAGCCTGTAACCTGCTGTCTGTTCTTTCCCTCAGTCTCTGGCAGAGTTTGAGCTGCGCGCAGTGAGGTACGAGATCAAGTCGCCTCGCTGCCACGAGCTGTGTGTCATCAAGCCGCCGCACGACACACTGACCTTCACCTTCCGCAGCGAGCAGGAGGCCCAGGAGTGGGCCACTGTCATGATATCATCACTGAGGGAAGCCCACAGAGGTCAGAGTTCACGTTTCCGCTTTCAGAAGTGTGCAGTTTCCCGTCCAGTTTATTACATCTGAATATTTCTCCTCTTCCTGATTTATTAATTTTGCCCCATTTCAATACTGCTTGTAACACCCTCACTGACTTGCCCTCATTTCACCCTGACACCACTTTAAGAGCTGTTTCCTTTCCTGTACTAGCCGAGGTGAGGCATCACGTCGACATAAGTGTAGTCTTGCCTCGACCGGATGTCATTCCGATCCAAAAAAAAAAAGCAGACAAAGCGGTTTATACGTGCAACTCAGACCAATAAAATACTTTGAAATAATTATTTTACATACATTCACCATGGAAAGTGTGTTCCGGTTTCCCATCTTTACTGCAAGTGATGTAGGGAGAGAAAGACAGACAGGCAGATGCACACGCAGACAGATATACACACGCAGATGCAGACAGACCTTGCGCAGATGCATACACAGACAGACAGAACCACAAACATGCAGACAGACAACACTCAGGCACACAGAGAGACAAGCGTGTGGATGCATGGACAGCCACACTTACATGCCCAGACAGACAGAAGCACAGATACACAGTCATGTGCAAAACACAGAGACATCCAGACAGGCATGCACAGGCAGTTAGGTGTGCACACAGACACACAGACATGTGCAAATACACAGTCACGTGCAGATGCACAGACACACATGCAGACAGACACACACAAACTCACAGACAGACACATGGACACACGCAGACTCACAGACAGACACATGGACACACGCAGATGCACAGTTACATGCAGACAGACACATGGACACACGCAGATGCACAGACAGACGCATGTAAACAAGCGCAGATGCACAGTTACATGCAGACAGACACGTGGACATACGCAGATGCACAGACAGACGCATGTAAACAAGCGCAGATGCACAGTTACATGCAGACAGACACGTGGACACACGCAGATGCACAGACAGACGCATATAAACAAGCGCAGATGCACAGAGAGACGCATATAAACAAGCGCAGATGCACAGACAGACGCATGTAAACAAGCGCGGATGCAGTCATGTGCAAAACACGGAGACATCCAGACAGGCATGCACAGGCAGTTAGGTGCACACACAGACACACACACAGACACGTGCAAATACACAGTCACATGCAGATGCACAATTACATGCAGACAGACACATGCAAACTCACAGACAGACACTTGGACACACAGACTCACAGACAGACACATGGACACACACAGATGCACAGTTACATGCAGACAGACACGTGGACACACGCAGATGCACAGACAGACACATGTAAACAAGCGCAGATGCACAGACACATGACATGCTGACAGAAACATACAGATTTGCACAGACAGACCTGCGCAGAGGCACGCAGGCATCTAACTGACCCTGATGAAAGCTGGAAGACAATGAACACACATGGTGTATAGTAAAAGCTGAGCTGCAGTTCTTGTCTCTTGATGTATTTAAAAGTCTTTCTGTTTTTCAGTCGCAGGCATTGCCACTCATCCCACTGATGACTCAGTACACTATCTGAAACCTATCGAGCAGAGCGCAGCCTTGTCATTATCAGCTAAAGGTGAGTGAGATGAGGAACCTGCTCTGTGGTTAGCATCATGATACACCGCTCTTCACACCACATCCGACCAGAGGGTCATATTCAGAAGTTCTGTTAGTGATTGGAGTGTTTTTTTCATTAGCTGAAGTTGGGGAATTTAAAACACACGTTTTGTAGAATGTTGTATTTAAATTGTGTAATTTGAATTGTTGTTGTTCGTTGTTTTCATGAATGGTGTCACTTCTGTAGAGGAGCTGTGTGCTGAGCTGGCCAGAGCCATCGAGGCCGGAGACACTCAGGCGGCAGTGCAGCACGCTACGTCACTGGCGCACCAGCAGATGGCGCTCACCATCCAGCCAGCTCGAAAGGACTCTGAAGATGGCGAGATCAGGTGAGTTTATTTTATTTACAAGCAGTTACACCTTCCACAATGGGACATTCAGGTTTAACCTGGAGTCCTGTTGTGTTGCACTGCTCCTTTCCTGTGCTTACTTAGCCACTTGTGTATACAAGGATATTGCACCGTTGGCACAAAAACACAACGTAGGAGTGTTTGTGCTCTGAAACATTATATGCCACTTATTATCTCAATATTCAATATTAACGTGCCTTATAAATTTGTTTTTCCAGATGCCAACAATCTTTATTTTTGTCATTATTTTTTCTGTTTTTGATCAAGCTAAACCTCATATTAGGGATTAGTTCATGGTTTCAAATATTTGAGAAAGTTTTAGTAATAGTAATATACAGAATTGTAGAGAACATTGTAGAGTTGTAGAGAACGTTGTAGAGAACATTGTAGAGTTGTAGAGAACATTGTAGAGTTGTAGAGAACATTGTAGAGTTGAGAACTCTACAAACCACTTGAGAGACTTCAGTTTGGTCAAATGTGAATGAAACATTAAAAAAAATACACAATTTTTTTTTTTTTTTTTAAATGTTGTCTTAAAGCTTTAATATACATATTGTGTTGTACACTGGATTATGTTCATTCTACTGTAATATCGCAGGATCAGTAAACTATATATGTATGAATTAAACACCCCTCTGTCACGTGTTTGCAGCTTAGCAGTTGCAGTTGAAGATGCCACGTCATCCTGTTGCGTCACAGTAAAAGTCATCCCACACATGACTGTGGCGTCTCTCAAGCAGCAGGTAAGTGACAAAGCCAAATGCTAGTGGATGTGTATACTGGAGTTGTGTGACGTATCTGAGCTCACACAGTGTGGTAGTTTGGTGTCCTATGATGCACCAAAGCTTAGTCACTCCTCTCACTCGCGCTTCCTAACCTCTGTCTCTGTCCCAGATGTTTGCTGAATACGGTTTCCACCCGCGAGTGCAGCGCTGGGTCATAGGTCAGTGTTTGTGCTCTGAGCAGCGCACGCTGGTGTCGTACGGCGTGTGTCGAGATGGAGACACGGCGTTTCTCTACCTCCTCTCAGCTCGCCACGCCCGCCTCAGCCGACTGCAGTGCCAGCAGGACCAGGAGAGCGCCCTCCTCGCACCCGCGCCCAAACCGGCACCGACCCCGGCACCAGCTAGTCACGACTGGAGAGGATACAGCACGCTGCCACCCCGACTCCATCACGCCAACCCAGGTGTAGCTTTACTCTCCATCACACTACAGCCGGCTTAAAGCAATAGTCCAGTGTTTTTAAACATAATCTCTATCTGCTGCATCCAACAGTGTCAGTACCATGGGCAAGAATTTACTTCAAACTCACTTATAATGGATGTCTAGGGGCATTTGTTGATTTTTTCAATCGGTAAACAATTTAAATGCACAGCTTTTTTACGTAAATGTAATACTATTCAATTATTTGTATAGCGCTTTTAACAGACATTGTCACAAAGCAGCTTTACAGAAATCTATATGTAGATTTATACTTAGATTTCTAATGAAGAAACCAAAGGAGAGAGTGGTGAGGAAAAACTCCCTGAGACATCATGTGGAAGAAACCTTGACTGCAAAGGAAACCCACACTCTTCTGGGTGACACCAGATAGTGAGTTAATAAATCATTACAGTATACAGGTGTAGAAGAGTAAAGACAAACAGTACGGAGTGTGTTCACAGGTTGTGAATAAGAGTCCTGGGATGAGCACAGGACAGTCTTTATGATTGCAGCAAATTATAGTATTATAGTACAAATCTATAATATCCAAGCGATATTATCCACTGAAGCAAGATTAAGAGTTGAGATTTTTGGGATGTGCAAATCATTAGAGTATCCATGTGGGACCATTCATAGCAGCAGGAAGTGAGTCTACAAGTGCAGAAGAAGAGAATCAGGTTTAAACTACATGTAGAGCATCAGGCCAGATTATTAGGTATGCTTTTCGCATACAGATGTTTAAAAGGGTGTACACTGAGATTGGGTGCAATGGCAGGTCTAGCTGGAACTAAAATGAAGAACCAGAAGGTAAAATATGGATGAGGGCACACTGGGACATAAAGCGTCCCGCCAGTCCACATGAACAAACCTGACTATGATCATAAAGGTGTGAGGATGTGAGACATGAAAAAGCCTTACCAAAGCCATTCTGGAGTGATACAGTAAAAAGTTGTTCTGGTTATTAATGCTTTTCTGAAGGATTTTTGGAGACACACAACTATACTGGTAAAGCATAACTATTTCTAAAAGGAGGAATTATACAGATTTATACATTTTACAAATCGATTTCATTGAAGAATTCAGTTCTACAAAAATATATTTCCCATAAATATTATTACTGACAGAATAATATTGATTATTATTGATTATTGACAATATTTACCTGCTCCCAGATTTCTATTATTAATGACTTTGGAGTAAATAGGTTTTCTGTTCTTTTCTCAGTGCAGGGAAATGTGTGGTGGAAAAAATTATACGTAGAAATGAAGTGAAATAATGAAGTGAAATGATGAAGTGAAACGTCTTTGTGTTCTGTCAGAGACACAAGTGGTGTGGTTTTTGGGGCGGTGGTGGCTCAGTGGTTCAGGTTCTGGGCTGCTATTCAGAAGGTCATGAGTTCAAATCCCAGCACCGCCTTTAAACAAGACCCTAAACCCTCTCTCTGCTCCAAGGGTTGCCGTATCATAGCTGACAGTCGCAGAGCTATGATATGCAAGTCACCATGATCATATTGGTTTGGGTAAAACTAAAATAAACATAATCAAATAAACAAGGAAAACAATCCACAACGCTCTGACTCTGATTAGCTAGGATATGCGCAGAACAGCACTTCACTGTACTGTACAAGTCTGCATGATGATCGAGGTGGTCTTGCTTTATTTATTCCACCACTGAATGTGATATTTACTATACTCATCACGTACTACTGCAGACCTGCCAAACTTCACCTATTTCTCACACACACACGCACACACACACACACGCATTTTTACATTTTACAAGTTATCTCTCAAAAATACGCCCAAAAGAGCAGTCTTCTTTTTTTCCCTTATAAAAAAGGATGATCAACCAATGATATATGAATCTGGAATGACTGACAATTGTGTAGGTTTTTAAACTCTACCTCAAGTGAAGTAATTTAGTCACTTTCGCTTGTTGGAATTTGCGTATTTGAATATCATTTCAATTTGAATAACAATTATATTATTTTTAAAGGAGAGCATCCACAAGCCAAGACTCTAAAGACTACAACAATGTTTTTTCTGGAGCTAGTACCACAAAAATTCAAGTTATAAAGTGATAAAAAGTCAAACGCCAGCACAGACTCCTGACGTGCCCTGTTAGCCCGCCCTCCCTGGAAGCCTGCCAGTGCTCTCATCTCAATTTGATTTTCCAGCTCAAAAGTTGCACTGATGCATTGCCTTCATTTTCTGTTAAGGCAGCCGAAGAATGTGTAAAGTTCATTAGTTTGAAATTAAATTTATCAGTGTTTGTTAGCCTTAGGTAACATTAGACAATTGAGTAATATTTTTTAAGGAATATTTTTTATTTTGCAAGAGTCTGGTTATACTGAATATTGGCATTGCTGTGAGTAGGCCGTAGGAACAAAGCCACAGGGCAAGTGCCGTAGGTAATCACAGCCGTGCAGATATTCAGTATACCCGCACGATTGTGTGTGAGATATTGTTATATTATATAATATAATATTGTTATATTATACAACAGTTCTATAAACAAGAACTTAATATTGAGTAAGTGATACTTCAAACACGATATAGCCAAATGTTGTGTTTATTTTTGCTCAACTAGTGGAAATAGATCCCGAAGAAGCCACACTCACTTTATAGCACGTTGGCTAGCTGGCTAGCTAGCTCACGTTGATTTATACATTCCCGTTAAAGGTGTTTCCAGTAAAATTGGCGTCCCTTCTTCCTTTTCATCTTCATCTGACCAGCTTCCGTATTTAATGTCAGTTATATTCCTGAAAAGTATCATTTGCTATGTCCACTGATGATGTCACTAACTCTACTGTAGTAACTGTTTCGAACTAGGAAATGGGGTTTTTCATAAGGTTGGTTAGGCTCTTTACACTGCTCTCGTTCTGTTCAGTTCTGTCTCGGCTCAGTGGGGTCGCATGTTGCCCAGTGTACGTGAATGTGTGACTGTTTTGAATGAACAGGAAACAGTGGGGGCGGAGCTGGGAAGCACAGCATCAATGACATCAACCTGGAGAGACTGCAGCTGGGTGGACCCGGGGTGAGACCAACAAACGCACAGGTACACACACACACACACACACACACACACACACACACACACACACACACACACACTGATCACACTAGCTATAGTTTTGTGAACATACTGCATTCCAGGGTTAATATTATTAATGAAAATACCACAAACATTAATAGTGTAAAAACTGTAATTGTTAATTGAGATGACTTTTTACTCCTACCCAGGTGATAGTGATGATGTAAATAAAGGCTGAAACCTAGCCACGACCTGCCCAAGCGCTTCTTAGTTTTGTCATTGTGTCGTAACTAATCAGACAAAAAGATCACGTTTTTTCACCAAATTACACATGACTAAAACTAGTCATTTTTCATAAAATGAAAACTATTTATGTGTAGAAACAAATAAGAAGCATTAAATTTTTAAAAGTATAATAACTGCTTCAGTCACACAACATGTAGCATTGCAGAAATGCTACTAACGACTAACAAAAAGAGAAAATAAACAGTATATGCGATACACAAATCATTTTTAATTATTTGCAGGGACTATAGGGACTAGAGAAGCCTTCCACTGTTTTTTAAAGGTAAAAGAAAAATCAGAATAAGGTTTCATTTTGGACATCCACATCATCTTATTTGTGCTTAAAAAAGTTTTAAGGAAGATTTTTTTTTTTTTTTTTTTAAACCACCAGCCGTCACAAGAAAAACAGAATGCTGTTATCACAATAGCAAATGAACCGACAGTATCAGATACATTCTAATTTGGACTCTGCAAACACAGTAATGTGCAAAAGCCCTCCAGTACATCCGCTAGTTTGAGCAGATGCTAATCAGTATTTTTTCTTCTCCTCCCCTCTAGCTGGGTTGGTCGTGTCCTTCATGTACTTTCATAAACAAGTCGACGAGGCCCGGCTGTGAAATCTGCAGTACAGAAAGACCCACTCGGCCGGAGCTCAGCGCATCTGAGGAGGCGGCTCTTCTCCTATAAGAGCTCTCCAATCCACACTGTGAACTTTTTCAGCCACAAGGAGGCCAGTATAGACATGGAAAAGACATACCCATGCACACACATTCATCTGGCACAGGATTCCAGGTGCTGAGTGAACCGAGGTGAGAAAAAGCGTCCCTGAACAGTAGGAACTCCCTGACCTATCTATGAATCTCTAGTACGTGCCATATGCCATGTTCTTTTATTCAAGCCACTATTGCTCAAAGACGTTTCAGTCGCAGCCGGGCCGAGAGCAGCTGATGACGAGCGAATGATGATGAGGAGGATGAACATTCACAGTGGAGATCATCAATTATCAGCTCCTTTACGGTCCTTAAAGCGCAGTGTCTCTACAAATAACCAGCAGTTTTAGCTTTTCTTTAAAGTATCCCTGAACTCAAACACGTGATTTTTTTTTTTCTTTTAGTAAGCAATAAAACACATAATGCAAGAAAATAATCAATGACAGGGTGGCGTAATGAAGCGGCATTACTGTTTCCACCATGACGTTGATTGTTTTCCAGCAACACCACGTCCCGAAGTGTTCTATTCCTCTTATATTACAGCAATTTGCCAGCAGTGTTTAAAGAGCGAAACATCAAAGATTTGTCCATTTAGGGTTACAGTTAACATTGTGGAACGTCTGCAAAACAAGTTCCTGTTATCACTTATGTTACAGCAGCTATAAACACTCGTTCCCTCAGCAGCCTCTCTTTCCATCTTTCTTGAAGTTAGTAAAACACAGCTTGTCATGTTACCGAGAAACCTCAAAGTGTAAACTCCTTACTGACTGTAACATAGCTCCTTCCATAAATGTTAGAAGTCTCCTTCTGGAAAACTTCTTTCCATCAGCAGTTTATATGTCTTTGTCAAGTAACACGTTTTTAATCTGTTCATAATGAATTAATGGACTGAACATCTATTATTCAAGTCCATGTGCAAGTTGTTACTATAGAAGCAGCAATTTATTAGAACGAGTGCATTTTATAAATCTGTGGCTTGTACTGTCAGACCTTTGGTTAAAGAAAATTAATCAATAACCTTCTGACCTATCAGAATTGAGAATTCAATAGCTCTGTCACAAAATAAGCCCGATTAGATTGATAGATTGAAGGTCTCACATCCGATATCCAAATGATTATGCTAACGTAACTGAGGAGAATATGATACTCGGACAAATCGAGACTCAGATACTGAAATCCCACTTAGCTGATGGTAGAGGAACAAGATTAAATTCAATTAGAAAATACTACTCTTTTTCATGAACAATATTAAACCTGAACTGCAGCATGTTCACAAACTAGCAAATCTGAAGATTAGTAGTACTGACATGGGGAAGGGGGTGTTCCTAATTTGCATATTCATGCATAGATCTATGCATGTGTAGAGATGGTTCTAGACCATTTTTTCAGTAGTTTTGAATCATTTGTAATTCTGTACATTGTAATATGACCTGTTCAGGGACACTTTAAATAAGAGGCAAACAGGGAAAAAAGAAAAGAAAAAAAAAGGTCATCTTTTCACTTGTAAATATATCAGTCATAAAGTTCTGCAAACACCTCGTCCTCACCACAGACTGGAGTCGAATACTTATTCAAGTGATTTTTTTTTTATTTTTTTTTGTGAATGAATTCAGTTTCAGTTTTATTTAATGTTTTACACTAATTAAGACTGTAGTAGGATTTAAAAAAAAACAAAACAAAAAACTCTGGATTCACTGTTGATGCAAGCTACACCTTGTATAACAATTTCATTAAAGCTCATTAATGCATATTTGCAAAATTAGAAATGACCGTGTTTGCAAGATTGTTGCAGTTCCCTAACTGAATTTTGGTGAGACAGAAATCCTACGAAACTCTTAATTACTGACTTGGATTGTGCTTGGTTTTTTTGTTTTTTGTTTTGTTTTGTACTGTTTTCTCTTCCATAAATCTATTATTGCAGATAGTTACTGGACCTCAGTCTGGCCTCAGGCCAGTTTGTTGTTGTTAAAATGATTATAGTAAAGATAAGGAGTCTGATGTAGCATCTCAGTAAAATGCTCTTCACCAGCCTTAAATAGCGTTTAAAAAAAAAAAAAACCTGCTGAAGATATGATTCTCACAAAACCAAAACTTGTCTAAGAAAATACAGCGTCAGCATTTTACTTGTGCCACACAAGCTCATGATTGTAAATGATTGCATTTATTATTATAATTAAGTAAATTATATTTGGTGTTCATTTTATGGACAATAAAATTATGAGACAAAAACAAACATGGTTTTCTTTTATATACTGTGTGTGTGTGTGATCTATATCATATAGCTATAAATACAGCATATAAATCACCCAAATTTCATTCTTTAGCATGCTTCACCTTTGGCTTCATGCTTAGCATTACGAACCATTTTCATATCAATGAATCATCAGT